CATAATATATCTTTTGTTTCTTATAAGAAAAACATTTTCACTTATTTACTCTATGGCCTAACTGTCCAACCTCCTTATTCATCCATTTGAGGGGAGGGCCTCCTTTTTTTATTTTCATTTTGATGGGGTAGGGCCCTTTATGATTTAGAGATTAAAGGTGCTAGCCTCCCTCTAGTATTTTTTTTAATAGTTGATTGTTATTTTTCCTGGTTGTAGAGACTGGTGGTCTCTTGAGTTGGTAGATTTTTCTTGTAAGTCTTCGTTTGGTTTCGTCTTTGACTATTTCCCCACCTTTTTTTCTTAAAAAATAATTCTTTATGGAAGTCAAAATTTTGAAGAAGATTTGGTTCTTAGCTTGGCTTGTAGCCCTTCTAAGGATTAATGCAGTAGACGTTTGGCAGGGAGCCTCCAATCTTGTTCTTGGCCTAAACTGGTGTGTTTTGTGGGAGAGCGAATAGATTATCTAAATTATATTTTATGGTTATATGCCTTTTACTCCTTGAGTTTTGAATCGTCCGTGTCAAAGTTTTAGCTTATCTTTATTTTAGAGGTCAAGCATTCATAGGATGATGGAGGAAGCTATTGGTGTGTCTTGTCAAGAGGGGAAGGGGAGGATTTTAATCATATTTCATGGTTATGCCTTTTACTCCCAGAGTTTAAGGTTTGTTGCAGACTGTTAGAATATCTATAGTTTAGAGGTCAAGCATCAGTAAGATGATGGAGGAAGTTGTTTTTTATCCTCCTTTGGGAAGGAAAGGTTGTGTGCTTTGGCAAGTTGGCTTCCTCTCATTTTGTGATTCTACATGGCTGAAAGAAATAAAAAAATGCTATAAGGTCAGATAGGTTGTGGGAAGATGTGACCACAAGCAAATTGACACAGGGCAGGAAACAAAGAGATGGTTGGTGCCTTTGTTCAAGTTCTTACCATTTACAAAAAACACATGAAGAGGGGCTAAATGCTAGGTAGGGTTTCCTTTTCTAAATTCCGTTCACTGTGTTTAAGCCATCTAACTCAAGATACCAGAGGAAAACCTTACATTTCCTAGGACATTTGTGCTTTCGTAAGGCCTTAAAAAATGTTGAGGGAGTACTTGATCCTGGAGCTCCAGCAGAGAAGATCCCATTCTTACCAAGACTCCACCTACACTCGTTGGAAAGATCAACTTGACTTTTACAATTTTTTTTACAACCTAAAATTTACATGAGGGAACTCTACTCTGCCAGTTCCTTTTGTTGGGATTCATTTTCATATGTTTTCAATTTTGACTTAAAAGGGAGTATTTTGACGTGTCTTCTTTACTTTTCCATTGCATGGGTTTCATTTTTGTCTCGAGTCCGGAGATATTTGTATTTGGACTCCAATTCTTCAGGTGGGTTCTCTTATATATCCTCTTTTTCTCTGTGGCCTTTGGCCCTTTTGTTCCTTCTCTATTTTCCTCGTTTCGGAAAATTAAAATTTGTCAGAAGGTCAATTGCTTGGCTGTTTGTCTATGAGAGAATTAACAATATTGGTTCTGTCAGACGGTCTTCCTGTGTGTTGTTGGGCCTTGTGGATTAGACAAACAAACGTTCTTGGTTGGTTTGGTTCAATTTAGTTTCTTTTTCATCCCTTTTCTCTTCTCCTATGTAGTGTTTGTTATTACAAAAACATCGTTGTTTTGAATTCACTGAGAAGTTAGAATATTTCTTGTGTTAATACATTGAAGGAAAAAATGATTGGGTATAAAAAGGATGGGTTAATACTATTATACACAAAAGAAATATTATAGAGTTGCATCGTATAATGGATAATTACAGACTACAGTGTTTTCAAGGTGCGCCAGGTGCTTGCCTATTGCAAGGGGCGAGGCGTTTTGGGTTGGGCGTGCCTTGAACAACGCCCAGGCAAGTGTCTTCAGTCAGCCGCTTGCCTTGGTGTGCCGTTGCCATATGGTGAGGCGAGCGCGTAGTTGAAGGCGAGTGCATTGTCTTCTTTTTTGATTTAAAATCATTTAAACTTAAAACTAAGTCCCGCCTCAAACAAAAAAAACCCCTAAATTTGCGCGATTCTCCTCCATCGTTCCGTTTGCTTTCTTCGTCTCGCCAGCGTCTTCCTCATTGTTCTTCGCCAGAAATCATCGCCAGCAACTACTTTCTTTGATGGTGGCTTCGTGTTTGCCGTCGTTTGTCTTTGCATTCTTTCTTCCTTCGCATTGCTCACCTTTGTCTTATTCCTTCTTAGACTCCTCGAAAGGTTTCATTCTCCTCTGTTATTTTCTTTTCATCTCTTCTCTTTCTTTTTTAATTGTTTTGAAGTCATGTCGCCTCTGTTTTCATTTTTCACTTTCATGTCTTTTCATTTCTTTCCTTTAATCATAGATCACTTCACTAAGAGTTAATTTCTTTCTTTTATTTGTTTTGTTAATCTTCCAATTATGATAGGATGGGAGTAGAGCCAAAACATAAGCATTAATGTTGTTTGATATTTTACTTTTGTTCTTATTTCTTAATGTTGTTTGTGAACCATTAGAATTTGGTTATTTTATGTTTCTTGTTAATATTTTGATGAATTCACTATTTAGTATTGATCTCTTATAGTTTTGACATTTTTCAACCATGTTTAGTTTATAAATTTATGCGATATATATATTTTTATTTTTTTAATTTATTAAAGTGCACCTCGCCAAGCTTCGCCTTTTTGTCGCCTCTTGCCTTTAGGCAATCTAAGGGCTTGTCGCCTTGAGGTTCTCCTTGCGTCTTGAAAACACTGGCTAATTATCATTTATAAGGTTTGAATTTTTTCCTAACTAGTATATCTCTAAAATCATATTTAATGCAGGCCTCAAGTAACCATAGCCACAGCTATAATTTTCTGTCATCGATTCTTTCTTCGTCAATCCCATGCAAAGAATGACAGGAGGGTATGTTTCTTGTTTAGATTAATCATAACAAAGTTATGTGCCTGTATTTTTTTCATGGTGTGTCAATCTAAGATTGGTTTAAATCTTGCTTATGTGGGGGTGACATATCCACCTCGATGGTTATTGTCTTAATACTTGATTTTGAATGCTGCTGCTTCTTTTTCTTCTTCTTCTGGTTGGGTTTAATTCTCTGACACAACTGCTATATTTACATGAACATAGGATCTTGTTGTTCTAATGTGTATCTCATTTATTATGTATTTAGTTGAAATATTTCATAATGGATCTTGCCCTTTTATGCAGTAATTGGTATGGTGTTCTGCGGGTCAAGTGTTTGGTTTTATTTTGTTTTTTTTAATTATTTATTTTATTCATAAATAGTTAGTAGTTTATCATATAGGCTGCATATGATTCAATCATTTAATTTGTAAGTGGTTTTTATTTAATAAGTTTGCCAAATATTTACAAATAGTGAATTTCTAGTAAATTTAGAAAAATAAATCACAAATACTTTGGTGTTCACTTTTAGATTAGAAAAAAAAAACGATTTTGTTATAAAAAATATATGATGTTTCATTTGTTAATAAATATGTTTTAGTCAATGATAATTTTCAAAAAATTAATTAATATGTTTTACTTTTATTTGTTCGAGAGTTTTAAAGTCCTTTGTGAATTTAAAATTTTAATCTTGTGCTCTCAATTTGTTTTTATAATTCATATCCATGGAATGTATTTAACAGAATTAGATAAGGTAGCATGTGAAATGACTATTACTTCTGTCTTTCAGAAGACAATATAGCAAGTAGAAGGTAATAGCAGGAAAAATGGTAGATGATAAGCAGGGAGGGATATTTAGTGGCTATCAGTATGTTTGTTAGAGCTTTCTTTTGGAATACTTGGCTGGTGAGGAATCACTTAATCTTCAAAGACAAGGAGCGATATAGTCTTACTAGTTATATCATGGTGTAAATGTTCCCCTTTTCCATCATTATAGTTTTTCAAACCTTTTATCCGATTGGAGACTTATTTTGTAACTCACTTGCATGGTCCCTTTTTGTAATTTCATACCATCAATGAAATTGTTTCTTATCCAAAAAAAAAAGAGAAAACTATTAGGATATTTAGACTTATGTTTTTAAATATGATCTGCAGACCATTGCAACTGTCTGTATGTTCCTTGCTGGGAAGGTTGAAGAGACGCCTCGTCCGCTAAAGGATGTAATCATTGTATCTTATGAGATTATTCACATGAAAAATCCTTCTGCGGCCCAGAGGATCAAACAGAAGGTCATCTCTTACTGATGCTGTTTAGAACCTGTTAATCTGTTTGTTTTCTAAGTTGATAGCGACCTAGTAACTATTAGGTTTTCGATAAAAGCTCGGGTTCTTAGAAAAACAAAATAAATAATAATTATTAGGTTGTCACTGGCTCCCCCAATATTTCTGTGTTTTTGGCAGCGTAGCAGAAATCTCTCTCACACACACTCTCACACAATTCATAGTTAATGGCATTTTGTTTCCTTTCCGAATTATGATTGTGTTAATATTGTTATCTCACTTTCTTATTAATCTCTTATATTCAGGAAGTTTATGAGCAACAGAAGGAGTTAATTTTACTTGGTGAGAGAGTCGTGCTTGCAACCTTAGCATTTGACTTGAATATTCATCATCCTTATAAACCACTTGTTGAAGCAATAAAAAAATTTAAAGTTGCCCAGAACGCACTAGCTCAAGTAGCATGGAATTTTGTCAATGATGGGTAAGATCAAGAGACAAAATGTTTGTTCATGAATCTTGTAGTTCCTATTAGGTGGCCTCTTTTCTTTATTCACTCTTCCTACATTGGTTCTTGGGGCAGGTTGAGGACATCACTCTGTCTGCAGTTTAAGCCCCATCACATCGCAGCAGGTGCCATTTTTCTTGCTGCCAAGTTTCTCAAAGTGAAGCTTCCATCGGATGGTGAGAAGGTTTGGTGGCAAGAATTTGATGTCACCCCTCGCCAATTGGAGGGTTGGTGTCCCTTCATTTTGTCAGTTGAGATAATCTCTGACCAAAAATGACAGCCTTTGCTGTTTGTGGCTCTGATATTTGTAATTCTCGTCCCTTTAGAATTGTGAAAAACTAACCTGAACCAGATGATTTAGCTTTTCACAAATCATTTCTTGAATTCTATGAAGAATGATTAAGAATGTAATATATTATCCATCTGATTTGGGTCATAGATTTTCAAGATTAAGAGTGGCTAATCCACGATAGTATAGCTGTCTCAGACTGAGATGTTTCTCTGCAGTCTTTGAGTTGATCAGTTAGAAATTTGAACTAATCATTTGTTTATATTTTGCTGCAGAGGTAAGCAATCAAATGCTAGAACTATATGAGCAAAATCGAGTGCCACCAGCTCAGGGAAGTGAAGTAGATGGAAGCACTGGTGGGGGTCCTAGTCATCACAATGTAGCAAAAACTACAGCTGTGACTGAGGAACATAGTTCAAAGCAAGTATCATCTTGTTCGGCACCCGACCATTCCTATGCCGACAATCATGGGGTACCTCAAAGAGTTGCTCAGAATCTTGGTAAGAACAACGGGACTACTACAGATGTGGGTAGTGCAATTACTGGTCAGAAGGTGGACCTGGAAACTGATAGTCATCATCATACCGACGAATTGTCCTACAAGGAGAACAGCAGAGATGTTTCAGACAGAACAAGACCTGTAGTGGAGCACGTTGGAGGTGAAGAGAAAGAAAAGAATAATAGTAAAAGTGAGACTGCAGAAGCAGGAGAATGGAGGGATGATGGTGTATCTCACAAGTCTAGTGGTATAGTGGGTCGAAATGTTGAGGTTCGTGAAGGTCCAGTTGGGCAGTCACCCAAAGAAGCCATCAAAATGATTGATAGAGACAAGGTCAAGGCAGCACTTGAGAAAAGAAGAAAGTCACGTGGAGAAATGTCCAGGAAGAAAGATGTGATGGATGAAGATGATCTCATTGAGAGAGAGCTAGAAGATGGTATAGAATTGGCAGCAGAGGATGAGAAAAACAGGCGTGAGAGGGGGCAAAGCGGGTCTAAGGTTGATAATCAAGACGACGGAAAGGTTCGTGAGGAATTGTTAAGTGGGCATCATGCAGGAACCAAGAGCCACACTTCATGGGGGACGAAAGCAGAGAATGCAGTAGTAGAAGAGGGGGAGATGCTAGATGATGCTTCCCCAGCATTGAACAGCCGCAAGAGAAAAGCTGGAAGGTCACCTGATTGGCACTCTGAGGGGAAGAAGTGGAACGATCCTGCGCCTAATAACCATTACCATGGTTTGGAAGATGGAAACCGCAAGAACTGGTCTGTTTATGCAGATAGGGAGCCTAAAAGACATGCCCATGAGAATCACTTATAAGTATAGTAGGTATCAAGGATCCAATTCTATATTGTATTGTAGGATGTCTTTACCTGGGTAGTCCATGTACTGGACAAGTCATTGCAGTGAGGAGTATACCAGAAGCCACAGAATATGAGCCTTAAAAGATGAAGAACTAAGGATGGATGCTTCACCTGATGAACCTGGGAACTGGGGTATTTTTACCACTTAAAGGTGACTGTTTACTTCCCGACATTGTAAAGCTCATAGGCTTTGTGGCCGAGATCAAGAACTTGAGCACAGACGTAAGTTTGCTTCTGCCATTTTTCATGCAAGGAAGCCACGAAATTAATATTATGTTTCAACTGTGTACTCTAGGATCATTATATTATGACGCTTCTACCTTAGTTATAAATGTAATTTGGTTTGAAGTATTCGTTCTTAGTTCGATGTGTATTTTCGGTCTAGGATTCAATTGTATCTCAGTCAGTTGAGCTTTTATCAGTATATCTTTTGCCTAACTTTGAAAAAGGAAAACTGTAATCTCATTGTATTCGAATCAAGGATTTGCTGGGAACGCATGCCGTTGGGAGTTTGCCCATTTTGTGAATTTTTGGTGTATAAACCCAACAGAAACAGGCAAGTTTTGTGTTCTAAAATATGTTAGGATGGTTGTTTTCTTTAGATGTGGACTCATTTTTGATGTTATGTGTCATGTAAAGCTAGTTAACTTTTGTTGATGGGAAAGACAAAAACAGGAACCATACAAACTTAAATGGCAAAATTTGTGTGAAATTCATCTCTCCCTCTTAGTATATACTAGTTTTGTATCCATGCCCGTCCTTATGTAATATTATTTTTAGAAAAATTGTTTGATCGAGAAAGAAAATGAAAATAATGTTTTCAATACACTTGTTGAAGTAGAGTGTAGGAGCTATCTTTATTTAAAAATATATATACATCATTAAGATTATCGCTTAAATTTTTTGATATCACATTGGGCAAATAAGAAATTAAATTTTTGCTAGTGTATTTAGTCTCTTGTTTGTTTATTTTTATTTTATTTTTTCAAATGATTGTGATAGAATGTGTGATCACTAGCTATTGGATTCGTGCCCAATGCACCTTATAATAAGTGGTCTTGAGAAGTTTTAGTACTCTAATTGGATTCTTATTCTTATTTTTTTATTACAATTTGGATGCAACTTAGAGATTCCATTTTTTTAGTACAATAAATTTGGAGGTATGAAGTTTGAACTTCTTACTTCAATAAAAGGAGTAGATGTCAATTACGGTTGAGTTGTGTTTATGCTGTTCTAGAGATTTTCCTTTTACTCAAGGGGACAATACCCAAGAAAAAAAAAGATAAAGTTTTAACTTATACTATAAACTTGTTACAATGATCGACTATCTTGACAAATATCAATTTAACTCATGCAAAAAAGAAAAACTCAAATTAATCTTTTTTTTTTCTTTAGTTCAATACGTTGTAGAGTGAAGATTCGAACCACCAACTTTTTAGTTCATAATACATGTCGTTAAATCAAGGAGAAAAATAAAATTCACATACCCAAAAGAGAAATTAAAAAAAGAAAGACAAATGAAGTGGGCTATTCTCTTATCCAAGATAGAAGAGAGAATCAGAAAGCTAAAACCAGAGAATGGCTCTGCCAATTACACAACTCCAACTCAGCTTCCTCAATCATCTTATCCAAAACCTTCTTCTCCATTCTCCACACACCAATCGAATCTAAAACCGTTCCCTCCACACTCTTTCCCCAAATCTTCTTCTGCTGCTGCTTCAATCCGCCATTTCCACCCCAAATCTCGACAACCCAGAAGAGATTCAGCCCCAAAATCCCTCACAATGTCTCTCACAATCCCCACCAATCTCTCCAAATCCCTGTTGCAGCCCAAATTGAGGTCTCCCATGGCCGCAAAACCCGCCAGATCCTCCTCAATCCTCTGCTCCGCCTCCGCCCCCGCCCCCGCCCCCGAGAAGGCCTCCTCCTCTCTCCAGGCCTTCTCCGCCGCCCTCGCCCTCTCCTCCATCCTCCTCTCCGCCCCTCTCCCCGCCGTCGCCGACATCGCCGGCCTCACCCCCTGCAAGGACTCCAAGCAATTCGCCAAGCGCGAGAAGCAGCAGATCAAGAAATTGGAGTCCTCGCTGAGCAAGTACGCCCCCGACAGCGCCCCCGCGCTGGCCATCAACGCCACAATCGAGAAGACCAAGAGGCGATTCGCGTTCTACGGGAAGCAGGGGCTGCTGTGCGGGGCCGATGGGCTGCCCCATTTGATCGTTAGCGGCGACCAGAGGCACTGGGGAGAGTTCATCACTCCTGGGTTTCTGTTCCTCTACATCGCTGGGTGGATTGGGTGGGTTGGAAGAAGCTACTTGATCGCCATTAGAGACGAAAAGAAGCCGACCCAGAAGGAGATTATCATTGATGTGCCATTGGCCACCAGCTTGGTCTTCAGAGGCTTCAGCTGGCCTGTTGCTGCTTACAGAGAGTTTGTCAACGGCGAACTCATTGCCAAGGATGTCTAATTCACCTCCTTCAGGTACTATTCTGCTCTGCTATCTTAACCATGTCAAGATTGATGATTTAATATGGCATCAGAGAAATAGGTCCCGTGTTCAAATTCATAGAGCATTTCCTCTGTTTCAATTGACATCTTTCTGATTTGTTTGATATCAACAAATTCTATAGATTGAATGTTTAATCTATCCGCTTAAACTTTTGATGGTCACTTTTTGGTAATTTTGAAGCCCACCGATGAAGAATAGTGTTAAAAGTATGCACCAATGATCAAATATACTATAATCAATCGACTTAAACTTTTAAATTAGTGATAGTGGTTTAACATGTATTAGAGAAGGAGGTCTTATGTTTGAATTCTTTGCGATCATTTTCTCTATTTCTATGGATAGTTTTCTGATTTGTTTGATATGGTTTTGTTGTGGTTTTGACAGAGATTAGGAAAGTGGAAGAGGGATTGGCTTTTAGACCATGTTGAGGAATGGAAATGGAAATGGAAATGGAATGGGGTTTGTGAAATATTTGTGTATTTAATTTGGAAACTTGACATGAGTATATGTAATGGTTGGTTGTGTTGGATAAAGGGCAAATCTATTTTTTCACTTCCCATTCTTTGTATTTAGAATTTCTAACATTATCTTTAACCGTAAGAAACTTTCGTTCAAGTTCTTCTTGTGGATGCTACGAAATGAGATAACAATGCTAAAATCCTAAACTTTGAAAAAGAAAAAGACCTAATAAAAATTAGTTAGAATACAACAAAAGCTTAGCTCAGTATAATTGGGAGTTCAAATCTTCTACTCCCACTCACTGTACTCAAAAAGGAAAAAGAAGAAAAAAACAGTTAGAACTTAAAGTTAATCTCGATATGCCCTTAAACTATAAGAATTGCAACTTAGTGCGACTACAAATGTTTATTACTACGTGTTACTCTTTTAAAAAATGTTGAAACCTCAAACTCCCTTTTCGCCCTTTCTCTTGAGTTCTATCAATCTAAAGATGAAACTTGGTAGATATCATTTTGTATTTACGACGATAGTTTCTCCTTAATTAATTATAAATCATGTTAGATCATTTCTATCCAAATTGAATTTTCTTGTACTTGTTATAAATATAATATATAAATTTAAATCTAAACCACTACCATTCAATTTTTTAATTTGAAAATATAAATGATTCGAAGTTTTATACCATCAAATAATACGTGAACTCAAGTCTAGTAGGGGTGCACAACAAAATTGACCAAATCAATGAAACCGATCTGAATCGAATTGTTTTCTTGGTTTGGTCAGTTTTAAACGGGAAATCAGTTCATCTTGTTTAAGAAACCAAAAATATTTGGTCGTTTGGAGGTTTAGAAATTTAACTAAATCGATTTCCTTTTTGATATATTTACTTGTAATATCTTAGCTCTAGTCATGCAATAAAAAAAAGATTGCTTTCCTCTCGATAGAAAAATTATAGTACTACAAGAGTACCATACTCCTTTTGTTCATAATATGATTTTGACTTTATAAATAATTTTGAAGGTTCGTAGACTCACATCATTTTTAATATCATATTAATATGGTAGATAGTGAATGGAAGAAGTATCTATACTCACTTCGTACCAGAAAATTTTCCACATGTGACATAACACATGACGTGAGTCGTGAACTAAATCAGAACTTTGCCTTCATCAAAATCTACCTCTACAACAACTCTATCCTATACGATTCGGGTTGGTTCGATTTTCCTCTCTTTGGCAGTCCAACTCGGTTTAACATTTTTTATTTTTTATTATGTGGTTTAGTTCTAAAATCGAATCAAACCCAACCACGAATACTCATAAAGCCTCTTAGAGGATAGCCTACAAAAACGGCAAGACCACAACATAAACATCACCATATTTTTGGGCTCAAATATTGGCCCAACTCAATGACACACTCCTACAATCATATGAAGCATACATCAAAATTCGAAGCATTTTCCCATAATTCACTTGATACTATCCAAACGAACTTGTCAACTTGAGTATAGTTTAATTGGTTAAGATGTATATCTTTATTGAGTATGGTTCAATTGACTAAAATATATATCTTCAACTCAAGGATCAGAGGTTCGAATATCCGCCTTTTCAACTAAAGAAAAAATCTTCACGACCTCTTGTCTCTAACAATTCTGAATTTTAAAATTTCACCCAAATTAATCTGTTTAGTTACACTCAAATTCCAAAAGCACAGAACCAAAACCAGTGGGCATGGCAGTAATTATGCCATGAAAATGAATGTCTTTGCCGACATTGATAACAAGAAATGACACAAATCATTGCCAAATTTCTTGACCTTTTCCCCTCTTTTATTTGACCTTTTTCTTTGCCTCCGAACAAGCAAGGACTTTCACTACATATGCACTTTCTACTCCAAAAAAGATAGCTTTATTTTGCCACTCAAAAAATGAAAATTGACCTCAATTTTCTCCTATCTCCCTCCCTACCAAACGAGAAATCGAGAAATACAGCATATGAAGATTGAACCAGAGCGGCAAAAAGATTTGACTATATCTAATTTCCAAACGCTATGTTATGGAATGGAAACAAGACGAGTTGTCGTTAGAAATGCACTTCATTGTCAAGACAAACAACTATTTTTCTCATTCATCCAAGAAACGAAAGAAAAATATATCACCCTTTAAGGAGCAACCCTGTTGGCCAAGAGYTTGGTCACACCGATTTAGAAGTCTCAAGTTCGAACCTTTCAAGTAAGTTTAATAAAAAAAAACTCTTAATGCCTCTTGAATCCGGGCCTTGCGGTAGGAGCAGGTGCTCCCTAGTTATAGTGGAAAACTCTAAAAATCATGTCTGATTCCAAGTCATGAAAAATACATATGTTGTCACTAATCCTGAATGATCGATATCTTTCATTCTAAACATATTTGTACACGAAGTGTCAAAACGAGACAAAAAAACACAAGACAGGAATTGATCAGACGACCTTCCTTTCCTCGACATTTATTCACATCAAAACRATTTCACACTTTACATCTCCTGGCACATCRGATTCATAATAAATTAAAAGTTTGCTACAAGGTATGGCCAAACACACRTCATGATTATGGTGAAAGCAATTGGTTTGTTTTCCCCAACATGTTTGACTGCACACACCTAACTGCTAAAACATTGTCTTTCAACTGCCAAATTATAGTAGTTGATTAGTTTCCTCATCCCTTTACCTAACTCACACCTGCCATTTTGCTATTATTCATGTTTCCTCAGTGGCAGATTCTATCACATTTGCATTGGCCCTTTTTTCACCCCTAATTTCCTTTATGGATTGACTCTTCAAGTAATAACCAAAAAGTTCTTCCTTAGAAATTAGTTTTAGCCAAGATTGAGTGAAAAGTCTTCCTCAAGACTTTGAAATATAATTTAAATCATCAAGGAGGGAGAGAGGAGATTCGACGTGATTTGATGTGTTTCATGTTTGTATTTACTTAGTCGTGTGTGTGAATAGATTTTACTCTTAAAATAATAGGGAAAAATGATTTTTAGAACCTCGTATTTCTTGTTTTTTGGTTCATGTTTCTTATTGATTCGAATAATTGTTTCTTGCTTTTTGTTTTAAATTTTAAATTAAAAAATAAAATTTATATGAAAAGTAAATATTCAAAATTTTATCTTTTAAATACTTATTATGTCTTTTACAAGTGAAGAATGTGTTTTTATTTACGTTTTGGAAAGAATTGAAAATGAGAATAAGAAACAAGAAACTTAGGGTCCGTTTTAACGTTTCTGTTTCTTGTTTCTCCMTTTTTGTTTCCAATTTGTTCCAAAACATAAATAAAAAGATTATTTTATCATAMTTGAATTTATGAACGTTGGAGTCATRCAATTCATCTTTTTTATTAAAAATGCAAAAGCAGAAACAAGAAACGGAAACGTTACCAAACTGGCTCTTAATTTTGTTATTTTCAAAATTTTTACAGAATTTTAGAAATATTTTTGAGAAACAGGAACTTATTTTTTCAAAAACTAAAAAAAAACGAATTTATATGAACAAAAAGTTTTAAAAATGCTTTGAAAACAATGTTTGAAGTCAAAAAGATGTCCCTACCTTACAAAAAAAGGAAAAAAAAATCTATGAAATAAAATGAAACTTGTTTTATTTTCTTTTGGGAAAAAATTGTACACACCTATCAACCATCTCTTCCTAAAGTGGTTAATCTTGTCTCCTGGTTTCCTTTTTCTTTGTTTTTTTCCCTCATTTGTCCCTACAAAATATTCATTTAAAGAGTTATTTATTGAATTATTTTTTTTAATAAACATATAATTGGAGATGAAAAGATATAAATCAACATCAAAATGTTAAATTGAAAATTGAATTATCATTAATAGTTTATTTTGTTGTTTAATTATGGATCATTCAATGGTTTTTTTTTAAATAAGTCAATTTTCTAAAGGATTATAATAATTTCACTACTTTAAATTTAATCTCCCCTCAATAAAAACTAAAATTTTAATATTAAAATTGAATGCCCAAGATTAAAGATTAGGTTTTCCCTTTCCCCAAAATTTTTGAAAATATAATTTCAATTATCTCATATGAAATTAATGAAAAATAGTAGCATAAAGTTAGGTACCAAAGATGACAAATGAGAAATGCTCGTAAATGTGTAACAATAAAGGTTTTTTTTTTTTTTGTGTTCGAGTACAACACAACATATGGAGGGTGGAGATTCGAACTCTCAATCTAATGGTTGGATACATGTGTCAAACCCGTTGAGCTATACTCTAGTTGATTGGAATAATAAAGTTAAATATGTCCAAATTTCCAAATTTACTCGATTTAATGGTTTTGTTAAAAAAATGCTGGGACCAAGTTTAGGTTAAGTTAAATCTTAATAACCTTTAACGAGGTTTAACATTTTCTTTAATTAATAATAAATTTGTGCAACTTGAATATAGCTTAACTAGTAAAAACATATATTTTTGACCAAAGGATTAGAAGTTCGAATTTCCTCCTCCACATGCAACTTATAAAAAAAGGAACTATGAAACTAGAATAATAAGAATAATTAAGTAGAGGATAATTCATGAACAACTTAGAAATTACTTTTTAAATACATTGTTATCAATAAATTTTAAAAGAGCATTCTAGGCAAAACAAATGTGTAAATATAAAATAGAATTTTATTTTTGAATTCTAATTAAATTGTTCTTGAAATTTGATATCAATATTATATATTTTAATATAAAAATAAAAAAGTATATATCATGTAAATGATTAACGTACATCGAATGTCACTTTACAAAAATAATCTAATATCACTTTGTGAAAGTAAACTATGTTGTTATACGCTATGTTTATAGTGACCATAGAAATTGTTCGATATTTATAATTCAATACATATAGTTTTTATCTATACGAGTGCTTAAGTTGAGATGCGGTTAGTTAATTACGGTTTTTTTTTTTATTTACAACAAGTGAAGGTAGAAATTCGAACTCATAACTTTTTGGTCAGAGATAGATGGTACCTAAACCAATTGAGTTATGCTTATATTTACGTTACAAAACTATAGTTTAACATTAAAGTCGTACTAAATCACACTTTCTTTAGAAAGTTTATATT